AGGAGCTGTTCGGGGTGTCGTGGTCTCGAGGAGCTGTTCGACGCGGGGCCGTCCGACACCTTTCGAGCCCCTGGCATGGCAGCCGTTGTGGCTGCAGACGCGCTCCCAGCACCCTCCAAGAACGCCGAGTTCATCTGCGAGCCACGGGGAGGCTGCAGCCACAGCGCTGGCGGTGCTAAAGGCTGAGGCGGAGCATCGGGTTTCGGAGGAAAAGGACGGCGTGGCCCTCTTTCGCTTAGGCGGGCCTGCGGCCCCGCAATCCGCCGAGTGCTCTTCCTCCACGTCGATTCGCTTATGCTGTGCTGAATGCCGAGCTCTTGGGTAAGACCGCACTGCCTGGAGCTGCGGTCGGGGCTGCTCTGGGTGGTCGCCTGCGCCTTCCTGTTCATCGCCTTCTTCGTGGTCTTCGTGGAGGTTGTAGGCTTTCTGGCGCGTAGTTGATGTTTGAAAGGACCCTCTTCCGCCTCCTCCTCCTCCTCCTCCTCCTCCTCCTCCTCCCTCCTCCTCCCCTCCTCCTCCTCCTCCCCCTCCTGCTCCTCCTCCTCCTCCTCCTCCTGCTCCTCCTCCTCCTCCTCCTCCTCCTTCTCCTCCTCCTCCTCCTCCTCCTCCTCCTCCTCCCTCCGGCAGCGCTGTGGGTTCAGCTTGGCGCGGACGCGCGGCGCCGGCTCGTGGCCACGGCGCTGGCGTCGGCCGAGGCGGGCGCGCGGCGGGGCGACGCAGGACGGAGCGGCAGGAGCGGGAGCCTCGCCCGAAGGGCGGCATGGAACGCATGTGGGTGCGCTCGGCGCACGGCGTGGCGCCCGGGCGGAGGGATGCCGCAGGCGCGGCGGCAGGGCGGCAGATGTGGGCGGCGCGGGGCCGTGCGGTCGTGGCTCCGAGGCGCCCGCGCGGCACCCGGGCCGGTCGCGGGGGGCACGCGGATGCCGCCGGAGCTGGCGCGGAGGGGCGGAGGGGGCGGAGGGCGACGGTCGCACCTCTCCCCATCTGCGATGCGCTCCTGGGGTGTGCGGCAGCGGGGGGGGGGAGGGAGGAGCGGCAGCGTTTGGAGGGGTGGATGGGGAGGGAGGGGGCGGGTGGTGCCAGAGGTGTCCCTGGCAGGTGCTGGCAAGTGGGGTTGCGCCGCGCTGGCGCGGGGGGGGTGCTGCACGGTGGGGGCGGAGCGCTATAGCAGAGCTCCTGGGGGAGCAAGGCCAGAAGGTGGAGCTTCAGGCGTTGCCGGGCGTTGCGTAATGGGGGGGGGCAATACATGGGGGAAGGAAGAAAGGTGCGCCTTTTGTACACCTTGGGAGGGCCACGACATTGGCACGTTTCCCCCCCCCTTCCCACCCCCCACCCCCTCCCCATTTACGGCAGGTTCGCGCCGCGTTGACGCGGCGGCGACGCCAGCTCGAGCGTTCAAGCTTGAACGCCGCCAGTGTCCCTGAGTCGGCCGGTACCGACAGATCGGCGATGCTGGAAGGCCGCGAGCGTTCAAGGTTGAACGATCCGCGTCATCGCGGCGAGGGCCTGCCGAACCGCGCCCCCCCCCAGTAAGCAACGCCCAGCGGTTTCGGCCACGCGCAGAGGGGGTAGGGGGCAGGGGGGGAGGCTTCTCAGAAGCACCCCTGCTTCTTGGAAGGCACGGGCCCTCCCTGCAGATGTCAGGGCGGCGCCTTCTAAGAAGCAGCCCCCTTCAGAGAAGCCGTCCCCGTCTCCCCCGACCCCCTTGTGCTACATGTAGATGCGGTTTCTTCTTCTTGGCAAAGAAGCCGATCAGCACCATATACTTCGGCTTATCCTTTGTCTTTCGCAAGGCTCGGAGTTGATTTTCACCTTCATCTTCAGCTTCCTCTTTGGCTTGGCTTCCTCCAGGGGTGGTCATCGTCAACGTCAATTCGTTTGTATCCCACCCCCTTGTGCGCGCAGCCAACCAGCGGTTGCTTCGTCGTCGTCGTCGTCGTCGTCGTCCTCAACGTCGTCATCGTCGTCAACCTCGTCTTCGTCGTCGTCGTCGTCGTCGTCGTCGTCGTCGTCGTCGTCGTCGTCAGCCAGCGGTTGCTCCAGGGGGCTCGCCCCGGGGCGTCTGCGCGCCGCGGGGGGCGCGGACCGCCGGGCGGCCGCGGCGGGCAGCGGGGGCGGCGGGCGGCGCGAGGGGGGCGCGCCGACGCACCGCGGCGCGCGGGGCGCGGTGCGGGATGCCTCCCTTCGTGCGCAGCGCGAGGGGCGCGGAGCAGCCGCCGCGGCGCGAGGGGCGCGGGCGCGGGCGCGGCGCGGGGCGCGGGCGGCGGCCGCGGCGCGGGCGCGGGCGCGGGGTGCGACCCGCCCTCCTTCCACTCGCGGCGTAGCCGTGCGCTTGGGCTGCGCAGGGCAGGCTTCTCTATCCTCCTCCTCCTCCTCCTCCTCCTCCTCCTCCTCCTCCTCCGCCTCAGCTCCCTCCTCTCTTTTCTTTCCTCCTCGCTCTTCTCTCTCCACCTCGCCCCCCTCATAATTATCCTTCTCCGCGTCTGTCGTCTCTCCTTTCGCATCTCTCCTCTCTCCTCCTCATCCTCCTCCTCCTCCTCTCCCCTCCTCCTCCTCCCGCCTTTCCCCGTTCCGCCACCCCGCTCGCGACGATGACGACGACGGCTCCGACGGCGGCAACGACGCCGACGACGCCGCCGATGCCGATGACGGCGCCGACGACGGCGAAGCCAACGACTGCGGCGACGGCGACGACGACGGCGCCGGCGCCGGCGCCAACGACGACGCCAGCGACGCCGACGACGAC